ACTCATAGATTCTATATTTGCAAATTTTCCTGTTCAAAACCAATCAATGTGCTGTGTTTTTATTGTCATTCACACACAATACAGAGCACTGAAAAAGTTTAAAATACAGATGTTCCGAGCCGAAATCACTCTTATATAGCACTCACAGTGCAAACAAGTGTACTTTTCACGATCTACTTAGTGGTGTGATATTCACATTTCTATTTTTACTTTTTGGTGATTTTGATATTTAAATTGATCTCAAGGAAGCTCCAAACCCACACTGACATGCTTCCCAGTGTTTTAAACTGCAAGAAGATTGTGCTGTGCCTTACAGTGAAAAAATACATGTCAGATAAGCTTTATTTAGATATAAACTATAGTGGGCTATTGGCTGTGAGTTCAGTGATAATGAATCAACTGTATCTCTCTCCTTCCACTACTCACCAAACAACTTCTCCAAAAAGTGGTTTTCACTCTATTTCCATTCCATTTCATTCCATCACAGTTCCTTTCACAAAATCTCATTGTAGGACTTACACCTCTACCATATAAGATTCTCAAACAACTCAACAGAGGGATTTGGTTAGACAGCAGGATAAGCGGCCAAGGACTACCTCGAGATTTGTAACTACTTTCTGGGTGTTGGTGTCATTCTCCCCACCTCTCTTTGCAGTTTGATTTTCTCTGCAGTTTTTGGTCTACATGGCAAGAAGCATGACTGCCAATAGACATTGATTTTCACATTCTACAATATAATGCCAAAGAGGGACTCTCTCAGTCTCTTCTTAGGTCCATATATCTCAAGAAACCTGGGGTCAGGAAATTAGCTGCAGCTAGTGTGTGTGTCTGTGTGTGTGTGTGTGTGTGTGTGTGTGTGTGACAATTATTCCAGCTATAACTTTGTGGGTGACACAGAGATGCACTGGCAGATAGTAGCCACTAGTCATGTGTGGCTATTTATGTTTAAATACAGATTTAAAGTGAATAAAATTTAGAAACTCATTGGCCTCATTAGTCATATATCAAGTGCTCAATAGCCACATGCAGCGAGTGGCTACAGTAATGGACAGCATAGATACAGAGCATTGCCATCATCAATAAAAGTTCTACTGGATGATACTGCTATGAGACAGTGACATTTCCCAGAACAGGAGTGGAGGTGGGGGTTGGAGGAGTATTTCTAGGCAGATAAATCAGTAACTGTCTCTTACATCTTCTCTCTAATACTTGATAAAAACTGACCCAGTACCCTTGAGACAATTTCTTCTCTGGCACTCAGGATCTTTTTATACTCTTCCGATTATCCTGTGATCCTTTTCCCTCAATCTTCACCCTCCCCTGGGAATCTTGGAGACCATGCCTGTGGCTTTTAATACCTATGATTCCCAGATTTACATCTCTTCTTTAGACTTCTCTTCTGAGTTCCATACCCACAGATCTAACTGCCTACTTAACATCTCCATGTGGGTATCAAAGGCAACTTGGCATTAGTATCTAACAAATCTTCCCCAAAGCTCCTGCTCTTCCCTTTACTCCAGCTCAGCACAAAACAGCTCTACCTTCCCAGCCTTTTATGCCAGATGTCTCCTAAAAATTATTGACATCATTTTTCACCTCATTCTATTTCATCACTAATACTGCTCAAACATTCAAAAGAGTTTCTTAACCTCATCGCATTTTTTTCCATTCTAATGCCATTTGTTTCTTTCACATTCCTCTTGACATTGATAAAACTGTTTGGCCCTGTAGCAGTGTTATCTTCTCAAGGAATCCCTCCCTATCCCCTGATCTGGACTCTACCTTTTATTTTCATCCCACATTGTGTTTTTGCTTTTTGGAAATATAATAGGTTATTTTTGTACTTACACAATATTTACGTTGCCTCTTCTGGATCAGTAAGGGCAAAAAACACATGTGTCTTATTCTGTGAATATTCTGTGTCTGGCACAGGGCTGAGCACTTAACCAGCCCTCAGTAACTATGGTACTTACTAGAGTTTCAGAGTACATTTTTGTGAGCTTTATGAACTCATTGTTCTTCCTTTTCTCTTTGGCTATGGATGTCCTCCTGGTTCTGTCCTTATTTTCTCATAGTTGCAGCTTTGTCACTATAAAGAGGACTCCCAGTCTCTTCTGAGAAATGTGCTCTGAAAATTGACCTCTCCTTGTGGCATCCCTCATCTTCCCAGAAGAATATTCTGGAATTCTAACTCACAGAACTCCTTCTTCCAGGAGTGCCCAAGCCTACACTCTCCTCCCCACCCTACCACTGAGATCTTTGGATTCTTTTGTTAGCCTTTCTTGTAGTCCTAGTTCATGCAAATTGCACTTCCCAGGTATCTGTATACATAGCCTAGACAACCACAGGAGAGACACAACCCTTCCTGTCTCAAAAGTCTCACTTGTGTTTATTGTCTCATCTTTAATATTTCAAGGACCTCTATCTATAAATTACATTCTGGCCCTGGATCTTCCTGTAGCTTGCCATTTTCCAAAATGCAGAATCAGAGAATTATTCTGCTGGAAGAGATTCATAGAATATCTTACATATCATGTTTTGTAAAGGAGGAAACACAGGTCCAGAAACTGGGAGACGAGTCACTATGCTCAAGGTCTCACTTTCTGCCTAGCCCTTTATGACACTGAGAGCTTCTACAGCTTCCTCTCCTAAATATGAAAGGCTAAACTTTGCTAGCCATCTATGCAAGAGCATAAGGTGCTTACTAAATCTTTCTAAGTTACCACCAATCGTTCTGCTACAGATTCCTTTGCTTTCTTTTACTCCATAGTTTTGAACTGAAATTATTTGAATTTATTCTCTCTATTCTTTGTATTCACCTTAGGCATTTTATTGTGGTATATTTGTTCTTAGAATATCTTTCTTTGGTTTTACTTTCTTCACTGATCTGATTTGTGTTTTGAACCCAAAAGCATCCCTAATACATAGTGGACTTTAATGTTTTGTTGGTGAATAAATGAACTAACACAATATTTTAGTGAGTTTCCTCCATATTGACTGTGGCTAAATTTCCTTTGACAGACATCAGTAAGTAGCTACCATCATATTCTGAAGTTTCATCAAAATGGACAATATTTGAAATATTTACATGAAGTGATCCACTCTCAAGAAGCAGTAATTTCTTAAAGCAGTTGATGATTGCATCCTACTAGTTGCTCTCTTGGGAAACTGCATTTGATTTCCTCAAATGACCCCTACCTCCTATAACTCCCCGAAGTAGGCATCAATATCTCTAACTTGAAGATTGGTGGCTAGAGGCTGGTGAGAAAGGAAAGAAGTATGAGAGTCACAGGGAGAAAAGGAAAGCCTAGAAAAAACTAGAAGGTGGAAAACAAAACATTTGTAATGTGACTTCAACCAAAGAGACCAGTTAGGAAACGATCCAGAGATTTTCATTTTTAAAGGAGACTTTATATTGCAGGTATTACTTAAAATGTAAATTAAATCCATGAATGATTTCAACATTTGGTTTCTGGATACAAAATCTGGCAAACAGTATCCAACATTTAAAAATAATTAGAGAGCCAAATGATTTTGTAAGAAAATGAAGATTTCTTGGCACGTAACTTGTTGAGTATATTAACCTTCATGATAGACCCAGCTCCACTCTCTTCTACTGTGTTCTGTTAAACAGTTTGTAGATATTGCCATAGAAGTGAAATTTTAAAAATACATAGAAATTAATTTTCAGAATTGGAACTATAACTTGAAGAGCAGGAAAAGCCTTCTATTAAGCAGTTAGTTACTTATCCATTGATGTCTAACTATTTCATTTAAGCTGTCCCAGAATGCTATGTTAAGTTTGGAGGCCCGAGTCATCTTTAACTTGATCTTTAAAAACAACTGAATTTGAGAAAATGTCAATTAAATCATCAAATTATTCCAACATATTTGATCAGGGCTGTCAATAAACAAAAATGTATTTCCTAGGATTTGAGGCATGAATACTAATCTACAAATTTTAATTTAATGTTTTACCAGAGAACCTTAGGAGAATATGAATCCATTTGGACATCTGTTGAATTATTCTTAGAGTAAAACTGGACACATTCACATTTTAGGAAATGAAATAAAATTCTTAATATATGTGCGTTAAAATGCTGTTTACCTACAGTTATGATTTTTCACATAAAAGCTCAATCTGGATTAGCTCTTACACACAGAATGGTTTGATCCTTCCCCCATCTCTCCATCAAACTCTGACTCACAGGCTAACTGGTATTTCTGATGTTAAAATTAATTCTCAGCATAGAATATATATATATATACACACATATACACATATATATACATATATATATATACGTGTATATATGTGTATATATATACACTCACTTTTTCCAAACAACCTAAAACCACTAAAGTTGCAGTTTGCTTCAACACTCTGCAGCTGTTATCCTGCCTCCCACAGGACATGTTAATAAACATTAATCTAAAAGCAAAAGCAAAAATTCTTGTAACTAGAAGATCTGTTTTTAAGCTCTGTGTTCCTTCACACATCGTATACCAAATATGCTACAAAAAAGTAGCTGCTAACTTGTCTCCCTTAGCTGGTATCCTTGAGCCAGCAGCTGGGGTGTATACCTGTAGGAGACAACAGAGAGGGGAAAAGGAAAATGTGGCTATGATGTTGAAGATTTCAGGCTCCTAGGAAGAAAGATGATAGGAACTCTCTTAGGTAGGCAGAGTCAGAGGAGAAGGTAATTCATTAGAAGGTCCATGGGGAAAAAGACAAATGGAGAAGTCAACAACAGGAGCAGCAAGACAATGAAACCCAAGTTCCATCTCACTCTATGGCTTCAAGACAGGGATACAGTAGCAGCTTGTCATCTGGGAGCAGGTGTTCACTCTTTCAGCCATTATAAAAGGGAACCCTTACAAATTACCCAATCTTGTCACTCCAAACAGTTATATGCATTTGTGAAAGTATGTTTGTAACACTGTATGCCTTTTAAAACTGCAAGTTAGTACTAAATAATGGAGTAGCTTTGTTCAAAAGCAATATATATTTATTTTGCATGAAGAGACATTACACTTGCTATAGAAAAAACTATGAAAAGAAAAGGTTGCATGTTACAATATGACAAAAACACATAAAAACTCTACTTATGAAAATGTTTTGCCCTAAGAACATATTAAGTGAAAGGCATTATTCCAGATGAGTGAACCATACAGAAATGTGCATTTATTAGCATTTGTTTTGAAATATAATTTGTACAGTGAGATTTTTCTTCCTTTGATGGCAATGAAACTGATTTATTGGCTAATGTTGGAAGTATGATAGATATCTGATAACCAGGAGAGAAGTTTTAATAAAACACTCAGGGAAGAAAACGAAAACTGAGTGAATATGTCTGCTTACATTTCAGCTAATAAATACAAAGTATAGATAAGGATTTAACTGAAAAGCATCCTGGTTATTGGAGCTTGGAAGGTATACTGAAAATTGGGTAAAACACTCTAATTTTTCATACCTTCAGCTACAATATGAGCTGCAAAACCTAGAGTGAGTGATATAGCACACAGTTTGGTTTTGGTACAGGAAGCCAATGTTTTCACAGGAAACTTGCAAGTAGGCATGAAGGGGAAGAGTGGTTCCAGATTACTAGTTATTATTATTACCTAGGCTATTTCTGATTGTGCTTTAGGATCTGGGGGACTGAACAATAGAATGCTTAATTTTACCACTCAGTCTCTGAGTAGAAACACTGGATACTTTTAGGGAAGTTTTAGAAGGTACATTACCAGTAAGTGTACATCTTCCAGCTCAAAGATCTGAGAAGAAATAAGCTACCTAAGGATAGTTGAGAACTTGGATCTGAGACCATCATGGTTAGAGATCTAAGCGGATTCTTCTGAAGCCGCTCATCTTAACCAGCCCTGTCACATATCCCTGTCACAAACTGGTGGTGGTCAGTACAGCCCTGGAATCAATGGAAGAAATCAGCTTTCCATTTGATTCTCAAGTCAGGACAGAGTAGCCCTAAGATATCTTGATTTTGGTGTTTCCTCTTATATGTCTAGCTTCTGAGCAAGATGAATCACTTCCTACTCCTGGGGTCAGTCTATTTAAAATAGACACAAAGGAGCCAGGGAGGAAAATTTACTTTACCAATAGCAAATTCAAAACAGTTTTCTAGTGGGAGAGCAGATCCAAATTTGGCTTCCATAATTCACAGTTGGCTCCTTAAAATATGCTTCACAGATTTGGAAAGAGCGAGACCCAGATGCAGTTTCCACCTGGCTCAGAAAGAGGATTAAGAATTAAGAATGGTGAGAGAGTATATGAGTAAGGACTTAACGTCAACAAAAATTGGTGGCTTTATTAATGTAAAAAAGCTTTTACGCTATAAATAATCCATGGTGGCTTGCTAAATTTAAAATGCCATTGTAAATGCACACACACACACACACACATATATATGGAACACAAAGGGAAAATACATAAAATTATGGAAACAGTTTGTAGAGCTCAAATCTATTATTAAATATGGACTCTATCAAGTAGTCCATCTAATTTCCAGTTATGTCTATATTTTAATGCTTCCTTTTTTGACTTTCAACTTCCCAAATCTTTCAAAGAACACCATTTTAAGAGGGTCACACACAATTCCTGTGCCATTCCTGAAATGATTTGCTTTTGTGGAGGAGTTTTTGGAAAGAAAGAAACAAAAAGTCTTACTACAATTTATAAATTGTCTCTTGAAGGATTATAATAATCCCTCTGAGAAATTTTTTGAGATATGTACTAAATGAAGCAGGATGCCACAGCAGAATGCATAAAAAGACAATTTACTGACTTAATTTCTAATACTCTCATATTAAGGTGTAGTTTGAGAATAAGTAATCATGTACTATATTAGTAAATATGTAGTGCATTTCATGGGAAAAATGGTTAGATATTTGCCTTTTTCTCAGAAATCATATTTTTTCTATTTTATAACTAAGGCATATATATATAAGAAAAGCTCATCGTCTGGCTTTTTATGTACAAGATGCTTTCTTTAAGAGAGTAAGATTCAAAATGGTTTGTGATTCAAAATTTAAAAGCGAATTCCTTGGGCCGGGGATTTAGCTCAGTGGTTTCACCGCCTGCTGCGCAAACTCAAGGACTCGAGTTTGATCCCCGGTACCAAAAAAAACACCAAAAAACCAAAAAAAATAAAATAAAAACAAATTCCTCTTCTAATTTCCTAAAGACATGGTTCATAGATTTGATACATTTCTTATTTTGGCAAAATATTGAGGGTCTAAATAATTCAGCCATATGTAAGCTCTGGCATACCTGGTTATATATACTGAATAAACCCTTTAATCTATTTACACTAGATATAGACATAGATGTATCTGTGTGTATACAATATACTATTATTAAATGCAATCCTATATTCTTTTATTTAATTAATTTTGATACATTTTAGGTATACAATATAATGACATTCATCATTGGAAATTTGTACCTTTACATAATATACCTTGGTTCTTAGTTTTTCCCCATTCCCCTGCCCTCCCTTCTGCAATCCTATATTCTTGGACATAGAAGTTGATGGTGCACCTTTCTATGTGCCACGGCACTAACAAATCTAGGCTGACCCGCATGCATTCATTGTATTGCAAGTTAGTACAGTAGTAAGTTCAGTTTTGGCGGGGTAGGGGGTGTCCCTTACTACAGCCTCCTTAAACTGAAATTTCTTTCATGCTTAATATAAGTATGTGCATACTGTTTTATCGAGGTGGTCTTGAACCACAGATACAATTGCATCGTTCATGGTGATCCAGCTGGATGTCAACAAGAGCCATGTTCTTAGCTTTGCCCTTCTTTTTGGAACGGCCAGGCTCAAACTTTAACACCTAAAACAAGAAGCATAGTTCTGGTTAGTAAACATTTAGGTCTTAATTCATCTACATGCCACTTATTCCCTTTGTGATTACTGGTTCATCTTTTGAGAACCCAACAAAAGCTATGGGCTTGGTATTAGAGTGTGCGGGCATAAACATATTCTTTTTATAACCAGACTCCCCAAAGTGCAGGATTTCACTAGTCCCAGGGTGGTGTCACTGCATCACCTACTGTAATATCAGGGAGACCCCAGGCATCCTAGTAGGTATTCATAGTTTTCTAAGGACCTGATTTGTGGTATGTGACATCCCAAATATATCATTATCCTTCTGACGAAAGCACGTGTTACAGATGAATACAATACTGAGCATATTATCACCACAGACAGGACAGTGAACAAGATGTGAACATAATACGCTGGTATGAGTAAATATAAATTATTCTCTGAGGTCACGAGTGGCCATAAGTCAGTGTTACATATTTGTGAAGATGAAATAACTTTTACAATTTAAAATAAGTCAGGATCCACTAAAATTTTTGTGCATTAATAACTATTCATCAGTGCAGCATGGTTTTAATCAACAAGCATATCCTCAACTTTTTAAATTAATAAATTTAAACATAGTTTCTTACATTAGTACTTTAAATAGAAATTAATCCTTCTTCCTTGCTGTGGTCTTCAATGAGTCAAACAGTATCTCAAGGATAAACACTTGGTAATATTACATACTTGATTTTGTATAAGGTTGTAAATTGTTTATATCTTTAGGTTCCTGTTGGCCTTTTCTAGAGTGGAGAAAGTAACATTATATCCATTTTACAGATTTGTCAGTTGAGGTTCTAACAGAGGGGAAGTAGCTTATCCAGGCTCTTCCAGTGACTTGGACCTCAGGCCAGGGCTTTGCTTACTAGACTCTGTGCCTATAATTTTCTTTTGTTTCTTAACGGTGTCTCTGGCCAAGTGTGAAGTACAGTGGGAACCTGTTATGCTTTCCCTGGTATACTTTAGTCCTAGATGAAGTTCAGGTGCAGGATAAGCTTGCTATTATGTGTGCATAGTTTTTCATGACATTTCCATGGTTCTTTACTATGCTGTGCACTCTCAGCTAGTTTCTCACTCTTACAATGAAAAAGTCTTAAACCAAGACCATCTATTAGAAAAAAAAATGCCAGAGTCCTTGACACTCATGTTTCTTAGTCTGCACATTCTGTTATATTTAGCCATGCTCTTCCATGGGAGTTCCAGTCAGGCAGAGAATAAATCATGGCATATTTTCAATGTTGATTCGAGCTAGGGATATGAACTTTGAGTTAAAAAATTGAGAGTACAAAACTGGAAGAACAAAATTGGGAGAAATAAATGGAACATCTAAGAGAGTTTAAAGGGAGGCACAAAGACCTCAAAGTATTTATTATTGGTAAAGGTAGTCTAAACGCCAGTTTCTGTAGCTAATTATATTTTTTCATTAATCTTCTGTAATTGCATGGCATTTAAAATATGTATCATACACTTCCACATGGTTCATTATGTGTTATCTCTGTTGTTTGGATTATAAGAGCTCTAAGGGCAAAAACAGTGAGAACTGAGGGCTTACTAGATGACAGGCACTGCTAGGAGAGGTGCTACAAATATTAAATTACTTGGACTTCACTGCAGTAGGTGGGAAAATGCTAATTTAATTCATAGATTAGGAAAGAGTTTAAATTACTTCCACAAGATCATGGCGCCAATATGTGGTAAAACCAGAATTTGACTCCACATGGCCTAGGCCATGCCCTTACCCATGTAATCTCAACAGCACAGTGGGGAGACAGTAGCTGCTGAAGAATTGCATCTGAGTAAACATGATGGGCAATGATAGCAAAATAGAAAGACAGAGAAAATCTTATGTTTGTTCTTTTTTGTTTCCTCTCTGTGTTTCTCTATCTTAAACTCCAACAAACACAAGAGGCAAAACAAAACTGAAAAGGAAATAAGGCTGGGACCAAAACAAAGTGGCTCATGTTTTACACAAGTTTTAATTCTCTCACAATTTTGAAACAAAATTGAAAGTACTGAGAGTAGAGTTATGTTAACATTTGCCTTTTCCTGCTTCTATTCTTTTCTCCTTCTGGGTGTTTACAGAAAACAAAAGATGTTGCTTCTCAACAAAAAATAAGTGACCAAACCAATGGCAAAATGTGAATTATATTTGGGGTATTAAACAGTCCTCCTTGTGATTAATATAAAAATCCTATAATTCCATATTTGGTCAGAGTGTTTTGGAAGGCGATTGGACCCCTTGTAGCTTTGCCAAGAATTTTTCCAATATGTTAGTCACAGTCATCCAAGACTATCTTCACATGAACTAGCCTTGGGGGCTGCGGTGTGTAGGGAAGGGAAACAATGACTAAAAAGCTAAACACGTGATAAATATTCTTTCTTTGAAGAAGATCATTATCAGGCATAATAATTTGCGATGGCTGGCATCTGTAAAATCAGCACTCCATCCATTTGCTTTCTCATTTGATGGCAAACAAAAGTGAGTGCTTTAGGATAAGGGCAAAAGCCCAGGTGGGTTTTCTAACTGATCTTCTGAGTGTTCAGGGACTTTTCCTGTGTCTTATATAAGCAACACAAGCACCGTGTATATGTGTTTTGCTGATAAGGAGAGAAAAATGAATTGGCAGACACTTTTCCCAGACAAGACAGGAAAGCACTATTTGAACAAAGTAGAAATTGGACTGCTTTACTAGCTGATCACAGCACTGATGTTGAAAGCTTTCAGACCATGTAATAGTCTTAGGTTCAGGTACACAGCATCGAAGACAGGAAGAAAGCAAAGCTGATTTGAGGGAGCAAGGAAAGTTAAAAGAAAAATGAAAAGCTTTTATCAGAGAAAGCAAACTGGCAGGTTACAGTTTATCTGGTCACCTTTAAAGAAAAGGAAGTATTGAATTAATTATAGCAGCTGGAGGAGACTTGCTAATAGGTACCATCACAAAATGCTTTCCTATCTTCCAAGCTTTGATTCGCAGCTGCAAGTGTAAACACACAGAAATAAAAAGCCACTGAGGAGTAGCCAGGCATTTCTTAGCATCCATGGGTGAAAATAGAAATCTTGACTCTTCTCCACCCCCCTGGAAATCCACATGAAGCCATGAAAAATTGACATTCATTAAATGAGAGGGACTGAGCCAGTCAGTGGATTTTATACCACTATACAAAATCAGAGATGCTCAGTTTTGCAAATTACCACATCATGAAAGATATTTAACTACAGTTACTTGCCTTGTTGCCAATAAAGCACTGAATGAATCATTGCCATAAAGCTATTACACCAATAAAACAATACCAGGCAGAAAAGCTACCTGCTGAGTCAGGGTCTTGTTTATTGGGAATATAAAAAAAGGTTGTTAAGCCCTTTAACAGTTGCTAAATTAATGGCTGACATAAAGAATGAAAAACTAGAGTCATTTATAGCTAAATGGATGCATATCAAGGCCATACTCTTAAGTGAAATAAGTAGGACACACATGTGTAAATACCAAATAGTTTCTCTAGTGTGAGAAGCTGATAGTGTAAACAAGGGTTAAATTAATGGCTGACATAGGAACACAAGCACATATTTCAGGGTAAATGCATTGTATAAACCTGAATCATTAAGAGTTTATTTAAGATTCTACCCAACTTCTAAAGCAGGCATTATTCAATGCACACACATAGTTTCTTAATAAAAAAAGCTTCCAATATTTGCTTCTATTTTGACTTCTTTTGTGTGTAAAGACCATGAAATATGTAAATAGAATCAAGATTTTTAGAAGACGATAGTGAATTATGCTAGAATTTAAGTGACTACAAGAAAAATGTTTAGATCACATTTTCTACCTGGGTAACTACTCCACCTGCCAGCAATAGTCACAGCGGAGGCCGAGCACTGCAGTGGGAGGACTGGTGTCAACTCCTGACACAGTTCCCAAAGGTGGGACACAAATGACAAATGGTTCAACAGTGTTATTCTGAGAAGTTTGAAGGTAACGAAAGGCTAGGTTTCAGAGAGGGCTTTTAAGTGCTCATGGACTCTGAAAATGCCATCTTGACATCTGTAGATATTTACTTGTAATAGAAGTTTGCTATGAGCACTCTAGGGTGACAATGGGGTATTTAGTGATGGTCCTATCTTCACAGAATGAAGCAGTGGAATGATTTTGACAGCATTTTAGAGGATCAGTGACTATATATTCAGCCTACTCATGGTAGAAAACTTAATGGAAGCCTGGATGGGCATAAAATTCCAGAACACGGTATTAGCATTAGGTATCATTCATGGGACAAATGGACCTTGTCTGCCTGAGGAATATCTTGCTCCCTGGCAGGTTTGCTAAATTTTGGCAAGAAGGCGTGATGTGAAGCTGCATTGAGAAGGAAAGGATATGTAGTATTCAAATGGAGAATCATTTCGCTTGACAAAGTGAGTCATCAGGGCTGAAAGATAGTCAGAGCTGAGGAAGCCAGACCACGAGCTCAAATAGTTCTACACACACCTGTCTTAGACGTCACAGTATTTGGATGCTTTCCTTCACCTACTGTCCCCATGTGGCAAGAAACATAAGTATTTTCATTGCGACATAGTGGTGAGTAAATTAACTTTTTATAAGCAGTCTATAAACATTAACTGTTCCAGATCATATCTTTATTCTTTTGCATTTACCTTGCACGTTAATCACCAACCTGTTTATATTCCTTACACGATTTCAGTAAGATAAACTTTGTAGTGTAACAGTTAATGGGTAGCATGTAGTTCCAGATCTTCCTGGAAAGTCAAAATCATAGGATTAACTGAGGAATGCTGTGGGCAGTGGGTGAGGAATAGGGCTGCCCTCAGCTGTCTCCCCCAGGGTGGCAGAATTTAAGCCAAAGTCTTCTCTTTTAGCCCTGTGATTTTTGTGTTCTGTCACCCTGGTTCTCAACAGGAAAACACAGGAAAGGCCTGACTCATGGTCCTACTCAAAAGTAAGAAGCAGGAAGCCTCTCTATAAGCTCCAGAAATGCTGTTTCCAGAAGAACTGTAGGAAAACATTTTCTTGACTTTTGTTATGGCTGGTTATAATCTTGACCTAAAACCTCACTGCCTCTTGCCAGAGAATTGACATTCCCTAAATAAAATGTAATTTCTCTCTTTGTTCTCACTTTGTAGTGTTAGGTAAAGTTTTTTCAACAATAGATGTTTCAACAGTGTAAAATCTTACAAGTGCTATTCTTTTATCTCAAGTGTGCGACTCACACTTCTTAGCATAATGCTGATGAATGACTGATCATTCATATCTTCCTTATTGAGCATTGGTTCTTTTGACTTGATATCAGTCCTTCCATTGATTACTGTACACTTATTATTTTAACTTTATGTTCTATATAAATGCTGATCTAACCCTTCTAGCTTTTAACTTAATAAAATATAAAGTTTCAATATAAAATTTACATTAAAATAAAAAGAATTCTCTGAATCATTTCTCCCATTTTATCCAGAGACAATAAAGAAACTAGATGCCAGAAACGTGTTGGACAGAAGGTCTTCTAGGCTTGCGCTGACCAGTACAGTAGCCACTGGACCATATGTGACTACTTATATTTTAATTAGTTAAGACTAAAGAAAATTTAAAAATTTACTTTCTCGTTGTGTTATGCCTGACATATTGCTAGTGACTGCTATATGGAACTGTGCAGATATGGGATATTCCCTCCACTGCACAAAGTTCCTCAGGACAGTTCAGGTGGGTAAGTAAGCATCATGACAAAATGTGAGAGGAAGGACAGAAAACTAACTTCTGCCTTTCTCTGTTGTTTCCTAACCTTTCTTGACTGAACAGATATAGCCTAGGGACAGAATGATGAAAAACAGAAGGTATTAATGAAAAATTCACAGTATTTCTAGGAATTATTCTTTTCCTGTTCGCTATGCATTATTCAGGGAAAAAAATGAGCTGAAAAAATAGTATTTTCTAATTATCTACAGAGTACGCTTTCTAGACACTACCAATAAAAAGAAATAACTACCCAAAGTATCTTTCAGAATGGCAGAAGCAATTTTGAAGGTCACTTTCACCTTGCCCTCACTCTTGTCTTCTATGTAACAAAACTTTGGAAGGATTTTCTGACTTTTGCCTGAAGATAAAAGGCCTTCACGTGAGATGTGCCCTCCCTGTACCCAGAGAAAAGCAGTATAATCTTTGAAGATAAAGGAAAAACAGAGAAGACTCTTACTTATTATTATTAGATCATATTATTTTCCTTATCTTAATTCTCCATGACTACCCACAAATCATGAAACCTACTATACAAAAAGACTTGAGATGAATTGGTGTGTGTGTGTGTGTGTGTGTGTGTGTGTGTGTGTGTGTAGGGGTTCCATTTCCTTATGAAGGTATCATATAGAACTAAAATAAATTTGTGTTTTTTCCTTTATTCATCTGTTTATTTCTACACTGGCTTCAGTTATGAGCCCATAATGAGTATAAGGAAAGTGTACCTATATATGCCAATAGGCAAAGAACAATTGCTAGGATAGAGGAGCAATACTTGACAGAGAACTTACAGACTTTAAGTACAGGAACTAATATTGCCTTGCAGTAAAAAGTGAATTCACTATAGGAGATAAAGTGGGGCCAGGGATTTAGATCAGTGGTTCCACCCCCTGCTGCGCAAGCGCAAAGACCTGAGTTCAATGCCCGGTACAAAAAAAAAAAAGATATAGGAGATAAAGTGGGCTTCATTAGAAGCTCTCTAATTTTTTCAGATTTTAATTCCTTATTGTTGACCAATGAAAAATGTATAGTGGATCCCAGATGTTTGCTGTGTGACACATTCTTGTTATTCCCTTAAGGTTGTCATCTCTCATAGAAACTCATTTCACATCTATCTCATCAGTTGCAACCATGAGCCAGGGAAACTGCTTCTTCATTTCTCAGAGACAAGAATACAAAAAGAGAACTAATAGAATAAAGGACTAAAGCTCTCCCTAATGAGACTAAGCTCAAGCAACCTGCATTTCTGGAGATGGAATAAGCCTTCTGCTGTTTTCCACAGGGCACTTGACATTTTAAAATTGTGACACATTTTAAGGGTATTTCTTGGAGCCTGGGGGAAATATGACAGTAGTGTGTGTTCCAGGTATGCTGTTACTGACTGAGTGATTGATGCCATTTTCTCCCTTTGCCCAGTGCCTGGCAGAGTGATTTTGTATAAAGTTCTGCAGAGGGCTAAAAATAAAAATATTATGACACATTTAAAGGTATGCTTGAGAGTGCACTTTCAAAAGGATGCCAGCATTTTGGATCACTCATGACTGAACAAAGAGATCAAAGCTATTCCCCTCTGTGTATTGTGCACTGAAACTTTACAGGTAACTGTTACTGTATACAGAGATAAGAAAGGATCTAAGAAAGAGAGTAGGTAGGCCCTTCAGATTTCTTCAGAGATAAAGGTCTGGGAGGCAAGAGTCCTTTTGGGTGTGTAATCAATGCTGTTGTTTCCAAGATACAGAATTTTAAAATTCAAGCTAAGACAGGGTCAAGATAAAAATAAAGAACTCCACAAATACATCAAAGGGCTGAATGTGAATGTTCTTCTTCATAGTTATTAGGTAGAGATTCTAAATTATTTTAACTCTAACTTGATTATTGAATTTCGCATTTTCCTTTGGGTCTGACAAACATTACCAAATTCAGATTCTTAAAGTGAAGGACAGCATCCAATCTAGTGTTCATCAGTTCACACAAAATAAAACACAATGCACGTAGACGATAGTATTCTCTCTATATGAGAACATTTTTTTTCTTTTGAAAACAGTGGGGTGGAGTAAGCAATTCTTATGACTAAAAAGTGTATTTTATGTAGGTCTATAATAATGTCTCCCCTGTCTAAGGTAAGTGTGGCTACTGTAGTGTGACTGTCTAAAATTGAAAACATCAGTTATGATGTACCCATTTTTGATTAGCACAACAGTAATCTCTTCATTTATTATTGCTGTGTTGGTTTCAAGATAGAAACAAACTAACAAAAGTAACTAAAGCAAAAAGCGCCCCTCCAAAGCCAGTTTTACAAAGCTGGAGATTATCCTGAGAACTATCTACCTATTCCTCTGTCTTATTGGATACCATTGGAAAGCAACTCAAACAATAGTTATTAACAATGACATTTTCTTTATATTTTATCTTTCATTTATATATGTATTCCTGTATGATGTTTCATTCCTTACAACCTGCATTTCATGGAGCTTATTTTATATTATCTGCAGATTCCCAGAAGTAGTAATCTGGTACAATTTCTTAGTTCCATTTCCCACATATATGAAAACTAAGTTTCTAAACTCTAGTGACTGTTAAATGTCCTCACAATCAAGAAGTAATTAGAGCTGTTATCAATGTCAGGAACAGCTTGAAGTCCTCTTAATTCTAAACAGGGACAGCCCAGTATTACTATAAAAACTCAGACTCCAGAGCCAGTCAGGAGTTCTGGTTCTGGCTCTGTGATTTACTCACTGGTCAACTTACTGGTCCTTGTAGGCCTTAGATTATTCAACTATTAAAAGAATAAAAAGACACACACACCCCCGCCCCGCTTACAGCACTGCTGACAAATTGCTACTGAAGAACCATCCAGTCATGATCATGAAAGGTTACTGTTCTTAAATTTTTGTTCCTCAATCTTTATATTTACCTTAGTTTCTTTCTGCATAATCCAAGCACTATTTCCCCTAGTACTAAGTAGTATTTAGGAAAAATAAGCATGTTAGAAAAATAAATATTTTCATATTTAGAAAATGAAAAGGTTGGTGACAATTTAGATTTTTGCTGTTTATTATGTTTAATTTTAAATAATTTAATCAAATTAAAATTTAGCTCCTAGTATTTTCTTAAAAAGATCTGGAGTTTTTTTTTCATCATATCCTATAAATGGATAAATGGACACTATCATCTTTCTACAAGGAAGCCAAGTACTTTCTGAAGTTATTGCATCATACATGTGACTATCAACTCTAACAAAGTTGTTTTCAAACTAAATGATATATTTTGAGAATTAGAAAGGGAGTCCCTTTTGCAGGATGGAATAGCTTCTTTTCAGGGCACTTGGCTTGGCAAGCCTAGCTTGGGAAAAAATTCAGCTCCAATCATCCTTGCGGCACTGTCTTCCTGCTCCCTCTAGATTACAGAACTGACTCAGTTAGAAAAGAGCTAAATGTAGCACCAGAAAAAGAAATTTGAGAGTGACATACCTCATGGTACTTTTTCACAGTTTTCCCTGAGCTGCATGTGCAGGACTTGCCATTGGCAATTCCACAGCCACAATTTCCTCCACAGCGTTGCACCAGGAGGCAGCGGGGAAAGAAGACCGCATTGGTCAGCTTCAGCTCCTCTCTCAGGTTGACTGAGTAATTCCTGGGGGTGCAACTGTAACGCTTGACATCCTCATTGAGCCTGTCCAGGTCAACTGTGGGCAAACACAAACACTGTGTAAACAAACATACAGTGGTAAGCAAAATCCTCATTATGTGTTCTGTTCAGGGGATGGAGTGGGAGAGATTCTGTAAGGACAATCTTAATTCAGGGTTAAATCTATCTTGGGTAAATCTAATTTCTCTTTGATCCTTTTGGCAAAAATAACAAAAACAAAACTAAAATCTCCATTGTGGTTCAAATTTTCTGGTACCTTTTTTAATGTAAACATTTTTTTTTCAAATGAAAGAAAATGAAATATTTGATGATTTAAAATAAATGCCTTGGCCAGGGATTTAGCTCAGTGGTTCCGCCACCTGCCCCGCAAGCACAAGGACCCTAGTTCGACCCCTGGGACCAAAATTAAATTAAATTAAATTAAAATAAAATAAAATAAATGCCTTTATCTTTAAAAACACAAAATAAACTATTTCTTGTTCTAAGTAAATCCTGAGTCTAAGTCTTTACTTAAATATAATAGGAGATATATTGAGGACTATGAACACTCTAATGTATGTACCTGGCAATAAAATTATTAGAAGTTAATGTGACAAAGAAAAATACTTTAGTTTCATTTTAAATCCAAAGTCAACCAAAACATTGAAGGAAATGCTGTTCTGTTGTGAACATGGTGCTTGTTTGGGCACTGGGTCCTTGATGGCAGTATAACATGGTGGCTAAGTACATAGGTTCTGCTGTAAAACTACAGCTTTATTATCACATTGTGCTACCTTTTAGTTGGAAAATTATTTAATGGTTCTGAACCTCTGCTTTCTTATCTGTAACATATAAATATTTGAAGGGTTGAATAGAATGTGGCTGGCACTCAATTAATACTGGGTGTTATTATTATTTGCTTCAGTTGATTTTTTCCACCTTTGTTTATTTTCTTTTAAAGTCAATGCATAAAAATAATTTTTAAAAATCAGATCTTCCTATTTCTCCTTCAGTCACTTTTCTATATAAATGGTTTCCAAGGGATATAGATGATGAGACTATTATTGTCTTAATAATCTTTAAAATCTAAGTAATAAAATTTTACTTGAATTAAATTTGTATTGTTGCAATACATAAATTGTATTTTAAATAATGCTCTCCAAATTTACCAGCCATCCACCCATCGGCATTCAGCCCCTGGCTGTTTTGCACATACATATGTACTTTCTTACCGTGATGCCAATAGCAGAAAGCTTTTTCTACACAGTTCCCACCGCTGCATCCTACTGAAGCTCCCTATGTACCAGCTGGACCGCCTCAGGAGGGGCCCTAAAATGCTGGGCAGACATCACATTTGTCCTAACTATAGTTCCAGGAAGTGTTTTAGTCTTAAACCAGAACTGCTTGAGGAGCAGTAAGGGGTGGTCTTTGGGGGCAGAGGTCAAAGATGAAGTATGATGTGGGCAGAATTCCCCTAAGGGCAACTGAAGGACAAGAAGTCACAAGTGTGGCCTAAGTATCTGTTAACTCCAAAAAGTCAGCTAATTTCACTGAGAATAAGAAAGAGATCAGCTATATGGTCAGATGACCCTTTGAAAAGGAAATTAAATGGCAGCTAGACTGATGTCCTACCCTGAGTGAATTTTCAGGTGTGCAACTATGCTTTGATTCTCAGGGGCAGGGATTTATACCTAACTGTTAAATGCTGAGCTCAGGGACACTGTGGGGACTGAATAAATGCTAATCGCTGTGCATAATTTATTGCTGTTTTTTCTTCCCTTGTAAAGACATGTCATAAGTTTAGCCACAATCAATCCAGATTTAAATTGAATGAACTCTGTCTTGGGAAAGGAACCATTTTATTGCTGCTAAAGCCCTGAAAATAACTGCAAGCAAAGCAGAAAGGATTATATAAATGGATTAAGAAGTACAGCAATCATCCATTACAAGTGTCACCTTGAGATAAATACTGATGCTGTCCTGTGCATTACTGGGCCTATGGACAAGGCTGATGCAGAGAGCCAAATCTGCTGCCTATGATAATGAGAATGTGTATGTCTGACACAAGGAATAAAGAGGTGCAATTAGCAGGAAAGGCTCATGGTAGATGGGAGGGAAGAGGGGGAAGGAAGGAGATACCAGCACTCAGTTTTTACTTTAGTTCAGCTTCCTGCTAGGCACTGTACATACGATAGATAACATGTAGCTGTTCCCCACCCTTTCGAAGTAGGTATTATTTAAGCAAGGTGAATTGTAAATGGTGAAACTAGAATTAAAAATTTTCAAGGCACTGCTTGAAAGAAAAAGATCAACATTCCTAGGGCTTATCAAGCTATATTAGAGGATATTAAACTGAACTTAGATCAATGAATTGGCTTAGACCAATGATGGTATTCCCATCTCCAGGAGATATCTAACCCAAACTACAGCATGCCTTCCCTATGTGAATTGAGGTAAATTCTAAGGTACTCTCCACAAACCAGAACAAGGCACACGTGCTTTATTTTCCTCTAAACCAAAGTCCTCACTTTGTACAACCATTTCACTGAGGAGCACTGGCAACTTCTGTTTCTCACCTGACATGAAAAGATTTACAGTGCTGTCAGTTTTATACACTGATGTGCCTAAAGACTATGGACTAGTGAGACTGCTGTAGTTGCCCTACTTATCAGGTGACTGAAACCACTGAGGCACTCCATTTGGAACTAGAATGAAAAGGTTCTTCTTACTGGATGCAAATAACTTCAAGGCATGACTGCAGACTTTCTGCAGGGATATTGAGTTTCCAGTCAAAGAAGACACTTGAGACAGCGCAGTAGAGCAGGGAGCAGACAGAGGCTGAGCAACAATTAAGACTCCTGATATGCTGGTTGGAAGGACTCTGGCATGAGCCTCGTGAAAGAGTTGGCATACAAAGTGGTACAAATCCTGGGAGAAATCCTCCCTTTTCCATTCTTGTATCACTTTCCATGGCTGAACATTACAGAGCAGCGACGATATTCCAAATTTAATTCATAGGCCCATTAATTTCATCTAATTTCCATTATTTCACCCCAGTGTACATGTTATAATACAGTGGTACCAAGTCAATTTTCCTATAAGGTCAACATTGAACCTAACCACTGAATTTGCTTCAGTTCTCATCTAATTCTGTTTGTGACCAGAATAGTGGAAAGAATTAAGTTCGTGAACCAAGGTATGACTATACCTATTTTTCAGTCCCTTTGAATTTGAGGCTTATTTATTCTTGTATCTTCAAGATCGGCTAAGTTTTTTGGGCTTTGTATTGACAGTCTTTTAGAGGAGCAGAGAAGACCCATTGTCCCCAAAGTCTTCCTCTGGAAATCTTGGTCCAGAGTGGGAGGCAGCATAGTGCATGGAGGGCACGTCCTGTGAAGCCTGGCCTCAGAGTACAACTTGATCACAGAGGTTCTTTGGGCTGTGGTCATAATTCTGGGATCTAGAACTGGGATGGGGAAGGGATTAGGTATGGAGGATAAATTACTTGTATAGGAACTGTGAAGTTTTTCACATAGACAATTTCAGGAAATCTTCACTAAAGCTAAAAACTACATACCATTATTACCTTTACTTTTACAGTTGAGGAAATTGAACCTTTGAAAAATTGAGAAAACAATCTGTCTACAGAATCTCTTATCCTCCTCTCCCATTTCTTTTCCTCTAAAGATAGGACCAAGGACAGCTCAGGTAAGTCTCCCTTTTGTAAAACCATTTGATTTCATCACTTAAAAACAGAGTGCTGTAAAAAGAAACACACATCATCTTGGTACAAGACTTCTTTGCAAAGAATAGGTATTTAACATCTACTATCTGAATGAATCAAAGAAACTACTGATTTTCTGTTCAATTTTTCTTATTATGAAAAGGGATTATTATTTCAATCATCTTTTAGAGGTGGATTAGAGTATCATCTTATATGCTGAATGGCTTTTATTTCTAACCTACCTTGGAGTGTGTTGTAAGTGCTAATGTGTTAGGCTAGAGATGACATACTAGGGCTCTAGAGTCAGCTGTACCATGGATGAACTGCAATGCATGAAGAAAACTAGCACTAAGACTTGGGGAACCTAGAAGTAGTACAACCAGTGTGAAATCTGGTTTCCAGAAGCCTGGCCCTCAGATACATATCTCAAGGTGGTAAGGAAAGTGTCCTTGACCAGTGGAGACTGCTACCACAATCTGTTATATAAAGTGTTAAACATTTCGCTTGGATGTTGCAACACTAGGTTTATGGTGCTTGGGTTGGAGATGGATGGGAGGGGAGAGGAATATATGAATAATTGTACTTGTTGTATAACACACAAACAGGGGTTCTCAGCCTTGTTCAAGGTTCATAAATTCCTCAGGAGTCTGTTCATCTTTATAGACTTTATAATCTCACTGTGATTTAAAAATTCCCTCTTCTATAAATCAGGACATAATTGTGAAAAATGTTTTCACAGTTCAACTTTGATTTTGGTAGCACAAATAAATCGGAAAGAACAGCATTTAATATTTCAATAATATTTAATAATACAGTATTTTACAACATTTAATGAAGAACATTTAGGGCATTTTTAACCTAAAATCATGAAATATAAATTTCATCATTCGCTTTGTTGTTTTAATATCCAAAGAATGGAAACATTTACCATTTGTACTTAAAATTTAAATCACATCAAAAAGGCTCCTGACGAGATAATTGCTGATTTTCAAGGTTTAAAAACATTGCGAAGTAATGAGAGAATAGAAATTTACTGAGTGCCTACTATGTGCCCAGAACTGTATGAGATGCTTTCAAAAACTCGAGTCTCATTAGGTTTATAATAAATCTTCCTTTTTGATATTAGTACTTCCATTCTAAAGATGTGGAAACTGAGATGCAGAGGAGTTCAGCAACTTATCTAAAGTCAGTAGATATGTACTAGATATTCAACAAATACCCACTGGAAAATCAGTGGATGACTGAATAAACTCTCTGGAGGCACTGGATTAGGCACTAAGGTAGGTGACACCAACGTAAGGTGACTCTCTGAACCCTAGGAGCTCAGGACCTGG